TATTATTCTATAAAACTCAGCACGTAACGCTATTCAAAAATTATATTTTTCAACGAACAAGTTGTGAAATAAAAAGGACCGACTTTGATACTATCAAATATTATTGTGTTTAATATAAAATGACGAGTTTGAGTCCTTAGGTTTATGTGTTTAAAATGATTTTCTTTGCTTTGGTAGTTCCAACTGAAGATTGGAATTTCGTCAGTGAGACGGGAGAGGAAGTTCTTGGATACATCCTAACTATAGTGGGCCTTGCTTCTACGAACTGTGTCCTCCGGTTGTCTTGTACCAGTGGTCTACTGCTTTCGAAGAGTCCAAGTTTGCTTGTTTAACTTAAACAAGAACGATATGTTTCTTAAAGTACATTATTAAAACATTTTAAAATAGTTAACATTAGGTATTGAAAATCATAATTGTTAAATCCACTCTGGTTAAATTCCGCATGCCATTCCCGCATGCATGTCTCCCATAATATTCGGTGACTACTTTGTTATTATAATTTGTGATATAAGTTCTTTGTACTTTAGAATTAAATGAAAATGTTTCTTCAATAAAGATTACTACAATCTAGAACGCACTTAACGACAGCATTAAATCTATATACTCGAGGTGGTAAAATAAAGCGTATAATCCATGTTTCGCCTGACGCTTGTTAAACCGAGCTTTGCGGCAAAAAACTCAATCGCCCAAACCATTTTCTAAAGTTGTTTCGTGTCTTTCCCCAACGAACTCGGTTTTTGGTTCGTTTGGATGGAAGAGAAGCCGTGGTAATGCCAACTACATCGACCATCTGCATTAACTCAACAACAGAAGGCACCACAACAGTTTCAAACTTTAATTTTTCAATGGCGGCCACTTCTTTATCAAATTATCTTCTATAAATAAGGATAGCCATGTGCAAGGACTTTTTGGGGGTATGAGCTAGGGTCTTCATTCGATTTCCATTGGGGGTGTTACGTATCTCTTATTTGGCCAGTCAGGAATCTTGTGCCCCTCTTTCTTAAAAATTTGCAAATATAGAGCTCGACATTTATATAAATGTGGGCATGAAATGGCATCGTCTTTGACGTGGCGAACCAAGATCCTCAATGAATGGACAGTATATACCACTGGATATACTTCAAAGCCTCCCTTTTTTAGGTAATGTGATGAAGTGAGGCCTAGGAGTTTTGAAGGCGAACTCAACAGTAAACGAATCCTTAACGAATCGTTCTTGTTCGACAGTAAATCGAATGTTTGACTTTCCATGACGCACAAATTCAAAATGATCCCTGTTGTTCCACAATTCATAAACCATGCAGTATAACAGTTATTTGTAGCAGGTGTCGGTAGCATCTGAAAGTATAAACAGAAAGTCGCTGATCAATCTTGTAGCCAAGCTCCTTTTTTTACATAAAAGATACTTGTTCTTGGAAGGTTTCGATTTGTTCAGCCAATCAACGTTACAGTAGTGAAGGCTGGTGATTGGCTGATGAAAATGAAAGCTCTCAGTTGCTACCGACGCTTATTAAAACTATTATTTTTGCTTTGCGAAACAACAGCAAAGCTATCATTTTGAATACGCACATTATGGATGCTACATATTACGATTTATTACAAGATGAGAACGATACCTTTTATATTAATTTCGACACTCCAACTCCTAGGCCTCACTTCATGGTGTTACCGAAAAACCCAGTTAGTATTGAACATGATTTTAGCAAGATGACACCGGAGAAAACAGAGAAGCTTATGGAAGCGGTTCGGTCTATGATGGCACGTTTTGACATACCTATAGTGGTATTCTGTCCATTCATCGAGGATCGTGGTTGTCCACGAAGACGAAAATATTTCATGCCCATATTTGCGTAGATGTCAACCTCTATTTGCACGTTTTTGAGCAACAAGAGAGTATCATTCCTTACTGGCCAAATAAGCATTTATACGTAACACGCCAATGGAAAGTGAATGATGACCCAAAGTCATACCCCCAAAATGTTCTTGGCTATCCTTATAAGTGTCACCTTAATGTAGATGTGCCCGCCATCGAGAAACTACTGTTTGTTCCGAGGCCGGTTTTGCCCGAGGTTGACGTACCGGGCATATCAGTGATTCAGCACCCAAGCCATCCAAAAATCGGGTTTGTTGGGAAGGAAGTCCCTTTAGAAAATTTGGTTTGGGTGATCGAGAATTTTGCCCAAAAGCTCGGCTTAATCAACCGGACATCGAAAGACGATGGTTATCATGTGTGTTTATATTTGGGTTCGGGTAAGTTTATATATACAGCATACTTCTTTTGATAAACCCAGTACGTAACAGACATTTTCACTTACCTATTACCTATATTTTCTGTACTATTAAATATTATAATGTTTTTGATATAAAACGACGAGTTTGAATGCTTAGATTTATGTGTTTACAATTATTTTGTTTTCTTTGGTAGTTTCAACTGAAGATTGGAATTTCGTCAGTAACACGGGAGAGGAAGTTCTTGGATACATCGTGACTAGTGGGCCTCGCTTCTACCAACTGTGTCCTCTGGCACAACGAAAGGAATGGTTTGCTGCTTTCGAACAGTCCGATTTTAAATGTAAAACTTAAACAAGAACGATATGTTTGTTAAAGTACATTGTCAAAACATTTTAAGTATAAAAATAGTTAACATAATTAAGGTATTGAAAATCATTGTTAAATCCGCTCTTGGTAAATTCCGCATGTCATTCCCGCATGCATGTCCCCGCGTAATATCGTGACTACTTTGTTATTATAATTTGTGATAAGTTCTTTGTGTTTTAGAATTAAATGAAAAAGTTTCCTCATTAAATATTACACATGCTACTATAATCTTGGAATATTTTCTTAACGATAGCTTTAAAGCAGAATGAAAGTATATATATATAACCGCGGTAGTAAAATAATGCGTAATAATTCATTTTTCGCCTGACTAATCTAACAATGTCAATTCCAAGAAAAGATCGTAAGAGGCATATTAACTCAATAATGTTATACATGCAGCTAAGCAGCTGTCCTTAAACTAAAAGTGATTGGCTAATTTGTGGTCACGTGGATTTCGATAAATGCAATGTCACAGAATAGATACTGGAACAGAAGCACAGAGTAGATAAGACATACAGAGACGTAACTGACCGTTGTAAACACTGCGGAAGATTACGTTATCATGTACCCACGTTTTTTCAGGCGACCGGTCGAAAAAATGATCAACTGCGCGTGCTCAGCAAGTTTAAAGTGAGTCGTCATCAGGTCGTCATCCAATCAGATGCATGCATCTAGTAACTTGCCGAGCATGCGCACAAAAAAAGTGGGTACACTAGTTACGTCTCTGTATGTCTCTACTCTGTGCCAGAAGTGTCACTCAGACGATATTTTGTCCGAAATTTTACGAGTGCTGACGTGAAAATACGCCATCATATGACGCCATCCTGGAGTGTACACGGAAGTTTTTCAATAGGACAAACATAGGTACAAAGTGCCGTGTGCACTCCAGGATGGCGTCATAGCACGTAAAAAATTTCGGACGTTTTCCTTCAGCCAAAACACATAGGAGTGACCCTTCTGGTCTGGTATCTATTCTGTGGCAATGTATTCCACCGGGAGTGAAATGCTCAACATGAAGTCAAAAATTTAAAAACCGTGTTTAAAAATTGTTTTTTCCAATTTACGAAAAGAATACGGTGTCTCACAAGAAGAAAAAGACACAACAGGGAATGCTGCTGAAACACTTTTAACAAGTTCTTTATTGTTAAAACAGTTACCTATATTTTCTGTACTATTAAATAATTACCTATATTTTCTGTACCATTAAATATTATAATGTTTTTGATATAAAATGACGAGTTTAAATGCTTAGATTTTTGTGTTTGAAATGATTTTGTCTACTTTTGTAGTTCCAACTGAAGATTGGAAATTCGTCAGTGAGACGGGAGAGGAAGTTCTTGGACACATCGCGATTAGTGGGCCTCGCTTTTACCGACTGTGTCCTTTGGCACGTCGAAAGGAATGGTTTACGTACTGCTTACAGAAATTCCAACTTTGCTCGTTTAACTTAAACAAGAACTGTCTGTTTCTTAAAGTACATTGTTAAAACATTTTAAGTATAAAAACAGTTAACATTATAAAACAAAACATAATTATTATTATTATTATTACAATATTGCCTGCTCCCAAAAGGGCTTTTCGGCAGGTAATTACAAATCATTTATATATTACAAACAATATATATATACACCCACAAACATACGTACATACATACAAACACAAATTAAAAGTTTTATAATTATTAGTAATGTCACTTTAAAATCATTAACTACTTCCTAATAAAATCCATACAATAAAAACGTTTATATGCTAATTTAAACAAGTCCAAATTGTCTAAAATTATTAACTACTTTCTAGAAATCCATGCAATAAATGACGTTTATATTCTATTTTAAACCGGTCCAAAGTGTCAATGGCTTTAATATGATTTGGGAGCTCATTCCAAATAGACACTGCGCGATAATGAAACGTTCGCTGTCCAGAAGCCGAATTTACAGTGGAATGTCTAACTTATCCTTATTTCTGGTGTTAACACTGTGGATCTTTAATCTCATTTCGAATTTGTCACACAAGTATGGCGGAGCTAACCCTTTCATGCACTTAAATGTCATAACCGCATCCCTGAGTTTTAACATACACTCAACTGGAAGCCAAGCTAACTGCTGAAGGATAGGCGTCACATGGTCATATTTTCTGATTCCAGTAATAACGCGTGCCGCGAAGTTCTGCACGCTTTGGAGTTTTGATATATTCTTTTTCGAGGTGTTCGACCAAACGGAGAAACAATAATACATTTTACTGAAGACCAGTGCATTTATAATAAGGGATAAAGTGTGTTTGTCGAAAATATGCTTAACTCTGTTGATTTGGCATAATTCAGTGATGCATTTTAAGACGGTATCGACAATATGTTTGTCGTAAGTCAAACTTGAATCCAAAGTCATTCCCAAATCTTTAACCGTCTGAAGTGGGATTATTTTCTCACCAAGAACAGTTATATGGAAATCTGTGCCAGAGAGTTTTTTCAGCATTTGACTTGTACCCAGTAATAGAAGTTTCGTTTTCTTTGGATTCACTAGCAGACTATATATACAGCACCATGCGGTAATTCTTTCCATATCTTGTGTAAGTTTAAACGCAGCAGTTTCAATATCCTGAATTGGAAATGCCAGATAGATTTTCGAATCATCCACATATAAGATTCCAAAGAGGACTCTTTTGGAACATTGGGCAGGTCATTAATATATATGTTAAATAATGCCGGCCCAAGAATAGATCCTTGAGGTACCCCTCGAGTTATAATACATGTTTCCGACAATGTCGAACCAATACGTACTATTTGACTTCGTCCCGATAGATAACTTTTAAACCATGCCAACACTGATTTAGACACACCAATGGTTTGAAGTTTCACTAGTAGAATTGAATGATCTATGCTATCAAATGCTTTGGATAAGTCTATTAAAACTAAGCCCGTAACTTCTTTACGATCCATAGACTGCAAGATTTGATCTGTTATAAAATGTTTAATGTTTCTGTAGAATGTAATTTTCGATTGCCACTTTGGTGTTCAGTATATCTTTCCCTTTGTGACATATAGTCAGTCAATTGATTCAATACAACTCGTTCACAAATCTTTGACACTGCAATTAGCTTTACACAGGACGATTATTGTCTGCGATCTCATGATCCCCATCTTTTAAGAGGGGAACAACTTCTGCCATCTTCCATAATGTTGGATATTCGGACGTAAGCAATGAACAATTAACAATATCTGTTAACGCAGGGAGGATACATGGTAAGGCATCAATCCGAAGATAAGCATCTTGAAACCCAAAATATGAGTCAAACAAGAAAGTGAGTGAGTAATATTTCGATTTTATTACAAAATCATCATCAGACTAACTAAAGTTACAATATACACATGGTCTTATATACAAGTTGGCAAGGCATGATGACAGCTTAACGGAAGTCTCAATCAGAACCACGACAGTTGCAGTGAGATGTAAGTATGATGAAATGTGGGTGTATAGATTAAGAAAAAAGCTTGAGTTCTTTGCTGGCTTTGAGTCCAGTGTTTAAACTGGGTGAATGATACTTGATATATAGAACTTCAAGCAACAAGAGTAAGTTAGGCGAGCTAGAATAAATAGTGTGAAGAATTCGAGAGTTGTCAGATATTAAGTTGGAAATAAAAGTGGAAACGTTATTGTCAGCGTCAGTTGGGTTGTTAAGTTTGTCAAAAACAAAGTGTAGGTTTACAATGTATTGCACATGTTCGCAGTTGTGAAAATGCTGTCCAATAGCACTTTTGGTCGGATTGGTATGTTCAGCGAGTCGCGTCTGTAAACGTCTTTCTGTTTTCGCAATATACGTTGCGGAACAGCCAGGACATGTCACCTCATAAACTACATTGGATTTCGAAAGATTCGGAATTTTGTCTTTGTTGGAAAGGAAATAAGAAAACTTTTTGTTGTCATAAACAACTATAAAATTTACAGGAACAGTTAGGCATCTTTGTATTTTCTTTATGCAACTTTTAACTAAAGTTTCACCTTGTTTACCAAGGTATGGAACGCGAACCCAAACCTTAGGCCTAGCAATAAAATTGTCTGGCATCAGGCAGAGTAAATTGCCAAAGTAACTATGCCCTCACGTACCTTATATTGTTATTTCAATCTACCAAATGCCAGACAATTTGGACTATTGGGCATTGATGGGTTCACCACACACTTGTAAACCATTAATTTTTAATACATGTTGAAGTATGTTACTGGAAATGAATAATTAGGTACTTGGCAGGCTTGTGACTTAATGAGTAGTATATTAACCCATTGAGTGGCAGCTCTCTCCCCCTGATGAGTGAAATCATCTAGCTACAGACAGAGTAAAAAAGGGCACGTCAGGGTGCATTGCCATTTAAAGGGTTAATTAATTATCAAAATATTTTTTAGATATTACCATCAGGTAAAAGTAATTAGGAATTGATTAGTTTGGACAATGATCTGCGGGTCTGGGCAAAATCTGGACAAAGATCTATATTTGCGACGTCAGCAATTCTTCCAGTGTCTCTGAAGGTAGGTAGTAGATGGCTCCAGACATCCACGGTTAGTTGGTGACGCTGTCGGTTATATTTGGTTTGTTGATAAATTGGTTGGGCAGCAATTAAGTTAGTCAATCAATCCATCAGTCAGCTGTCAAATAAAGCCAGGCAGCCAGCCATTCATCCGACCAAGGAGTTATTGGTTAGCCCCGCAGCCAGTACGTTATCCAATGGATCCTTCTGGAGAACACATCACTTTGGCTATCTGTCTTATTACAAAAGGTATCTTATGGCCATCTTATTACAAAAGGTATATAAAACTGCTGATTTTCAACAAATAAATATTGGCTGTTGGTAATATTGTCAGATATGACATAAATAAATGTTAAAAAATCAAATCTAGACCGTATGTAGGATCTTTTCAACGGGAGGGTGGTAATACCGTCCTATAGATTGAAACAAGTACCCAAATGTGAATGCATTCAAAGCCTTAAAAAATTATAGGTTGTATTCATTTTCTTGGGGGGGGGGGCATCTACTATAGGGGCACTTACTCCTGTTGTCCCCCCCCCCCCCCCCTGTGTACAACCTTGATTCAAATCAACAACAAATTACATTGGCTATTTATAATACAAATATAGAAGAGGGATACAGGAAAGTATTAATTTGTATCAGAGGGAACTGTTCAGAGGATGATCTTTGACTGAATAAATGAGAAACTTTCTAAAATCCTTTCCCACACGAGTTACAGTATATAATTATTCTGTTACAGATATTTGGAATTGGTCAATGATGGTAAATATGAGTTGGTCCTTCTTCGTATAGCAAAAGAGGTAAGTGTGTAATGATGACACATGCTGGTGATGGAACAGATGTTATCAAGCTGTGGTTTTGAATACTTCAATTTTAAGTATGTCAAATTTGACCCCAGGACAAATCTGAACATTAATTTGGAGTTGTTTGACTCTTTTGAATTCATAACACTTGCAGAGTATCTGCTTACGAGATCCACCAGACTTTGCCGATGTTCACTGCATGTCTAAATTATAAATTCAAATAAAAACCCATCAAATGTTAACTATTTTGAATTTTGTGTTTTTTCACAGATTGATCTTTCGCCATGTATTCTTGCGCGAATCATCTTGGAAGAATATTTATCTCACACATATTGCCAAGGCGAAAGTGGTAAATGCAATCAAATGTACAGTACTACTGTAAGCCGCTTTGGTATTGGGCTTGAATTAAATGTTTTATGTTTTAATTTACTCCCAAAAGATGTCCTAAGCCACATGATTAAAGACACATCCCTCATTCCTAATGAACGACTTTCTCGAGAAATACAGCAAGTAAGAATTCAACTATAAGATCCTTACTGCTGGTATTCACATCATTTACCACCCTCCATAGTTGCCTAGTGATTACCAAGTTGTCATTTATTGATTTTTCTTGCAGTGTGTTCTAACTGATGAAA